GCTAATACCACTCCAGGGACCCAACCTCCATGACTTTATCTCAATTCTCTTTAAATTCTGTTCTAGTTTTAGCCTTCACAGCCTCCTGCAGCAAGGAGTTCCACAGATTGACTATTTGCTTTGTGAAGAAGAACTTTCTGTTGTTAGTTTGAAGCCTGCTACCCATTCATTTCATTTGGTGTCCTCTAGTCCTTCTATTATGGGAACTAATGAAGAACTTTTCTTTATGCACCCTCTCCACACCACTCATGCTTTTATAGACCTCTATCATATCCCCCCTCAGTCTCCTCTTTTCTAAGCTGAAAAGTCCCAGTCTCTTTAGCCTCTCTTCATATGGGACCTGTTCCAAACCCCTGATCATTTTAGTTGCCCTCCCCTCTCCCAGCCTCTCTCTTCCCCTCTCCCACCTCCTTTTCCCAGTCTCCCCGGGGTTTGTTCAATAAAGACAGTTTCTATTTTTGAACACACGTGTCCTTTATTTCGTACATCAGGAAGGGAGGTTAGGGAGGGGTAAGTGGAAGGAGGTGACGGAGGAATGGGGTACGAGCTCCCGATGGGGAGGACTGGGCTGGCTCTGCGGGCTCCTCGGGGAGGAAGCTCTCCTGAAGCCCCTTGATTGACCCCCCCTCCGGATGGCAGCCTGTGGCAAGTGCAGACGGGCTGATAGCCGAATGCTGTGATGTGCCGAGTGTGGGCACTCAGGGCACTCCAAGCCAGGACTGCTTTGCAAGCGGGGAACCCTGAGAACTGTCTGTCCGGGGTGGGGGTCGGGTTCCTTTAAGCACAGTCTTCGGCTAGCCTGAGACAGCAGCTCCATGCTCTAAGTCCTAATCTGATGCCCTGCCGGCACTGCTTCCGGCCATCCTTAACCTCAGTTCAGGGTCCACTCGGTGTGGACATGCTAGTTCGAATTAGCAAAACGCTAATTCGAACTGGTTTTTAAGTCTAGATGCGCTAATTCGAATTAGCTTAGTTTGAATTAACTAATTCGAACTAAGTTAGTTTGAATTAGCGCTGTAGTGTAGACATACCCTAGGTGACTATCCCCCTATGAGTGTCTCTTGTCTGCTTATAACAGCCTTAGAAAAGTCATCTGGGAAACAGGCAGGAAAGGAAAATAACAACATGGCAAACGGTGGGATTTGGGGAAGGGGAATGGAACCAAAGGAAGAGTACAAGCCACAAAACATATTTAATAGGTGAAACAGTGACCCCATTCAATGGAATGGCTATTTCTACCTCCATGTCCATGAACAGGTTATTTACAAGGAAAGCAAAGCTCTCATAGCCATAAAGTCTCAGAGGTGTGACACTGGCCATTCTATACTTGGGACAGAGACCCAATATCACACACACGTGCATACACACACACAGGCACACAAACACACACAAAGTCTGTTAAAAGAAAAGGAAGCTTGTAATTATATTGGGGGTTTCTCCTTAAATGTATGCTTCCTTTGACTTTAGTTTAAAGATTTTGCATTTTTAATTACTACAGTTTTTACTTATATACAGCAAGATAACTAGGGATATGTAACAGATGAAGATTAATATGGAAATAAAACAGGTCTTATTCTTAATAGGAAATATGTAAAAGTGGTAAGTTAGGCATTGGAGAGGTTTGTTGCAGTGAAATGAGCAAGTGGAGAGGAATGAATTAAAGAATTAAATTCAGTCAGTTGACCAGCTAATCAGAATGGCCTTCACTGAATACTTGGCTACTGTTGATAACTTACCAGGTGCTTTGTAACTTTGGTAGGTGTCATTCACTAGTGGGAAAAATAGCAATATAGGAGCCCCTGGAGTCTCAGCATCTTCAAAGAGGTAGCACTCCTTTAAATTTTTCCTCTCTTCTTCACTCAGCACAACTTTTGGGAATGGGATTCCTTGTTCTGAGAAGTACTTATAGGACTGGTCCAGAGGCTAGATCAAAGACAATATGAAAACCCAAAGAACAGGCTGAGATCAGGATTTCCTGAAGCAAATATTAAATTGTACTACCGTAAAATCTCAAGTATAATGCACACTTTTTTCCCGTTTTTTTTTTTAGCATCAAAGGCGGGGTGCGCATTATTTATAGGAGGATTTTTTTTTTTAAGTTTTAAACTCACCCTCTCTTCTGCACAGAAACTTGCCCACTGCAGCGTGATGCAGGGGCCGCCACTCCACCAGACTCCCGGACAAAGCAAGGAACCGGCGGTACCGCCAGGCTGCAATGCCCTAGCTCACTGCCTGCCCAGTGCTCCTTCAGGCTGCGCCCAGGGATTCCTGGGGGTCCTCATGGCAAGTTGGACAGCTGGATGGGGGACACTCCCCCAACAGGCGCGAGCGCAGCACGAGGACAGCTGGGTGGGGGACACTCCCCCGGCAGGCATGAGCTCGGCACGCCAGCAGCTGAGTAGGGGACACTCCTCTGGCAGGTGCAAGCTCAGTTTGTGTTTGCAGTTGTGCCTTGGAGTTGTGAGGAGCTTCCTAATCTGACTTTGTAGATTTATTGTGCTTTGGAGTTGCTTATATGGTGTTAGAAGAATTAGCAGGAGGAATATGCGGGCAAATAGGATACCGTAAAATCTCGAGTATAATGGGGGTGTGCATTATAGATAAGAGTTTAGTTTAGTCAAGAATTCTAACGTTTAAAAGGGAGGGGCGCATTATACATAGGTGCGCATTATACTCGAGATTTTACAGTAGGCTACTTAAGGGATAGCCCTGGCTTTCCCGTTAAGAAACATGCAATATATGAAAATCCATGGCCAGATTTTAAAATTTTTCTTAGGGCACTCAACAAAAAACACTCAGCAAATGATTGGATTAGAGAATGTGAATACAAGTTTAAGCTGCAGCATTAAGCTAAAACACTATGGTTCAGAGTACTTAACAATGGGCTTTTAATAGTTACAATACTGCAGAAGCTTAAGTGCTAAAAATTTACAGACAAGTAACTATTATTGGAAAAACTAAGAAAAAAAATCTGATTTTTCTCACCAGTATCTGTGATCCTGCACTATAATTTAAATGTAGGATGACATCCACTTTCCTCTCTGGCCTCAAAAGTGGAGGGCAGCTGGTATTGATGAAGAATCCAGTATCGACCAGGGATAGGCATTCTGCTGTTTCAGTCAGCTGATTAGGTGATGTGTCCAGCACAGTATCTAGAAGGAAAAGATGTCTTGTTATATGTGAAATCCCGTAAGAGTAGATCCTGATGCTCTAATGAACATACTGACCAAGAGAAAAGGGTATTCAGCCGCTTCCCACATCTCTAATTTCCTTAGACATTTGGTAATCTATTTACATCACTGTTGCTCACCCTTAAATTAGAACAACTATTTTCCATGATGTCAGAATCTATATGTTCATTTTATTCCTAACTTCTTCAAAGCGTACTAATCCACCCATTCTTCCTCTCACTTCTTTCTCTTTTTCTTTTGGATGCATTTATTTAAAAAAATATATATTAAGGCAAAGTTACAATATAACATTAACGCTCTAAATTGCATATTACACATTCTGGATCAGGTTCACATACAAAGAACTTGGCTAAAGATTCTGGCTTGCTAGATTAGGAGCTCTTCTCCTATGAGTACACTAACTAAGGTGACCAAATTCCTAAATAGGATCTTCTTTTTGGCATTTCTCTTATGCACATACTTGGTGTTGTTAAGCAAAGGAATTCTTTTCCCAAGAATTCAGCCACACAGATAATACTAAGCAGTTTTATTAGCAATGCATTGGAGAGAGCGCAACAGCAGCTTCCAAAGAATTAGCAGGAACATAAGTATTTTTTTACATACGTCCTGCATATCATTATACCAGCTACAGCTAGTTTATCGGTTCTTTGTTCAAGAAGGAATGGATCTTTGCACAAGAATATGGAGCCAAAGTAAGGGGGGAGAAAAGGCTGGGGTGGACTGGTTCTGCAGATAAGGAGAGACAGAGCAAAGACAGCAAGATTCAACAAAACAGCTTCTTGTAAGCCTGTGAGAATCCAGGAGGGGAGTTGCAGTTTTAACAAATTCAGCGGAAGTTTTAACAAAGCTCAAGGTCTTATTGCAGCTGGGCTGTTATCATTGTCAGCCTTGGGGCTCAGCACAGGAAAACAAGGCTTTGTCCTAACAATGTGAAAGCTGTTCCATTACAAGATATATTTTACTATACCACAATGCCATAGGAGGGATCTCTTTTTTCCAATAATGTGCAATAGTTATATCTATGCACTACAGTTAAAAACCCACGGCTGGCCTGTGCCAGCTGCCACACTCACAGGACTCAAGCTGTGGGACTGTGAATTGAAGACTTCTGGGCTTGATATGGAGTCTGGCTCTGGGACCCCAATGGCCTCAGAGCCCTGAAGTCTACACTACAATTAAACAGCCCTGCACACAGAGCTGGCTTGGACCAGCCATAGGAGTCTAATTGCTAACCACAGAATTTAACTGCTAACCATTAACAAATAAATTAATTTGTCATTCTGTTTAAAATGCAGATAATTAACTGGAGCATTAGATAAGCAGGTCCGGGGATCTCTAGGAAGCTGGCATTTAGCCCATTTGATCAGCAATGGTGCACTCTTCTAATGATCAAGGATTCCTTTTGTCTACCCATTCAGGCCCAGATGCTCAAACTCTCACTGGAGTTAGGGGCCTTAAATTCTTTTGTGACTCTGGGCCTTAGTGTCTCTTCTGTGTTCATAAAGACCGTGAATGCTGTCTACACACTGAGAGCACCTATGGAGATTTAATCAAGTGGCTACAGCCCAAAGAGAAATGAGCTTGAGCCCCATCATATCCATGTCACTAAAGATTTTCAGCCCTATCAAGTTCAATTGGTTGCTCAAACAATTCTGTTTAAAAGTAGGCTCAAGGGTTGGCATGTAGGGAAGCAGGGTTTGGGAGGGGAGCGGCATTGTTTGTTTTCTTGTTAAATAAAATCCATTCATTCTCTCCCAAGCCTCCACACTATACTCCAGACTCCAAATTCCTTCAAAGGATGTTGCAGAAGGGCAAGTGCTATTACCTTTCCATCTACAAAATGTGTCATTCTGTAGGTAGTTGTTATGCAGCTGGAGGCCTTTTAGGAAACTGTGGTATTGGGCAACTGACACACGCTCTGTAATGGCACCACGAAGAGCACGGGAAAAGGGACCTGCTGAGGTGAATACTTGAGTCTTCTGTTCATGTGACTTCATAGGGAGGACAGGCTCTTCCTCTGCAAAAGAAGTAATAAAAGGGCTTGTTCGCCTACATAAATAGTTCTAAGAAGCCCCCAGAATAGCAATAAGCAGCAATTAAAATCTGCATGCCATTAGTTGAGTGTCCATGATGAAAATTCTCATGAGCACCTTAACAAAAGATAGATACACTTTTTTGTGATCTATCAAGACAAAATTTCTTAAAATGCCCCAGGGCTATCTTAAAAACAAATCCCCAAAATCCAATAAGCCATACAACGTCACACTGCCTACAAATCATAACACTGACAAACTATGTTGAACTGTATTTGCCAAAATTAAAACCCCCAGCAACTATTCATGTGGTGTTTTTTCAGTCACTAAATATCTGTAAACCAGGCTCATTATTCCTGACTATATTTACTCTCTTACATAGTCAATGATTATGTATAGTGATCTAAAGGTTAATCAGAAATTATTCCAGAATGGTAATCAGTAAAAATCTGGTCCACAGATTTTTAAAAATAAAATACTTCCAATTTATGTGAAGTATAATGATAAATAAATGTTACGGCAGAGCTATAAGGTAACTTACCGATATCATTTATTCTGTCACGGGTCCACCTGTGCCAAAAGTCCTCTGAAGTGTGAGACAAATTCCAGATATATAACAGATTCAGGGAAAATAAACTACTCCACATGCCTGTGTAAGGAGAAATATATCAGTATTGCCAACCCTTCGCATTTAAAAACGTAAGTCATGCCCTCTAAAAATCATAAAAGATTGGATTAAAATAATGAGATGGGTTTAAAAATATTGAGGTTTTATGTTTGTTTTCTGGGATTTTTAATCTTTAGGGCATTTTTGGTGCACATTTCCAAGCTTTGCTCTAATACTATGAGAGCTAAGAAATCTTTTTTTTTTAATTAAAGTTGTAATTCTTATGTACTCATATGATTCTAGACTTCAAGAAAAAAAACACACCAAATAACTCAACACTTGTAATAAAATGGTGAGAGTGGGCCATGCTAGAGATTTTATGAAGGCCTATATCAGGGCTATTCAACCTTGGAAGCCCCCGAGGCCACAATGATACTCACAGCACATGCCGAGGGCCACAACTTAAGCGTGCTTGCATATACATGCAAATATATATGCAAATATATGCAAATAGATTCTTTCACACTGATGGGCATGAATACAAAGATTAAGGCAAGACTACACAACACGCAGGTCCCATTTAAGTCAGTTCTGCTGATATTAATAAAATGCAGTAGTTACCCAATTTCCACCCATATGTTAGCACTTTTAATGAGCAATGACAGTCCAGGAATTTAACTACTAAATTATATATCAACAGAAGACCATTATATTGATTACTTTTTTGTTTTGGCTCACACCTGCAGGCTATGTGTTGAGCCCTGCATAAACCCAAATCACACCACGGGCCGCAAACCAACAGGCCACGGGCCACATGCAGCCCACGGGCTGCATGTTGAGTAGCCCTAGCCTATATGATCGAGTTTTGGGAGCATTTAATTGAAAACTGCCTTTTATCCTTCCACCTGAAATTGTTCCGTTACCTTTTATTTTTGTGGGCATCTGTTTTTGCACAATTCAAAATTTTTGCTGTTACTGTCTGACTTAGGGTCTTTAAGCTTTAAGGAGCAGATCGTGTCTGGCTTTGTGTGGGTGTGCGAGGGGAGGAGAAGGGTGCAAGGAATCTTCCTCTATTGTGTATGCCTTGAAAGGGGCCACAATAGCGTCTGTGCTCTGGGAAATTCAGGAATGCGGTCTTCTTATGTACGCTGCTCTCTCTGTAGACCAGGTATGATGCACCAAGGAAATGGCTTTAACCATTTTAACACAGGGTGCAGCTTGCATTTACATACCTGAGAGCCTGAAAAAGAATTTGTGACTTCTGGGGCAAAATACTCCCCCTGCCCTCTCAGTAATTCCTTAAGCAGAGCAGTTCTTTACAGGTCTCTACCTTGAGTGAAACAATTTTGCCTAACACTAATTCATATAGTCTGTCACAGTAAAAGTTATAAGTCAAATCCAGCATAAGATGGAAGCCTTCCTGTATCTCTCCAGATCATCCATTCATTTCCTTCCGAAATCATCTTTCTTTTCTCTGTTGCTTACGAATCTTAATTTCTCTCTCCCTCTTTCTAGGAGTGTATTAACTCAAGAATTTTGAAATCCGGGAAGTACTGGTATATCAGATTCTCAAAAGGGTCAAGTGTTGTTATATTATTTTCTAGATATCACTGGTATGCTTGTGTTGCAGAGCATTATAGTTTCACTGACTGCATGAGGTTTAGTCACCTTTTGTCACGCTATTACAGACAAATATTCATCTGAGCTAAAATTCTAGATTAAGACCATATTCAAGAGATTAAATTGAACAAGCTTGGGCTATGTCTACACTGCAAGATCAAGATGCAGGGAGTCCCAGCTTACGTACACATTCTTGTGCTAGCACTCATCTGAGCTAATGCACTAAAAATGGGAGTGTAGCCATGAGTAGCAGCAACAGCACAAGTTTGTCACCCCCAAGTACAAACTTGCCTGAACCTCACAGGTACATATGCAAGGTGGTCGGTAGATATATTCAAACACATTTTTTAGTCTATCATCATATTTCCAGGACAATAAATCACCTTCCAAGTAGCAGATCCGGGATTCTGGGAGCCTTTTCATCAGCCGACCCATGAAGAATTCACTTCCAAAGTCTTCAGAGCGAATGAAAGCTCCATATTTCATGATTCCAACCTCATATGGGGTGAATTCCATCCATTCTGCAAACAGCCACAAACAAAAAGACAAAAACAAAAAACCTTTGAGAGCATTCACCTTGCTGAGGACAATGACTTATGCTGTGATCCAATGGATAAAGAGAGATATAAAAAGATTGAACCACTGAAAGTTTATTACAAGCATTTTTGAACCTGGACAGACTCCAGAAATGTAGAAACATCCCAAAAATTAAAGCCAGGGATTACAAAAAGCCAGCTGGAGTAAAATTATATAGCTCCATTAACTTCAGAGGAACTATGCTAATTTTGACCAGGTCATGACCTGGTCTTTACTTTAGAGGGAATTTGGATTAATCTATATGAGGTCTTACCCACAAAACTGAGCTGCTTCCTCAGTTTAAAAAGCGAGTACATCTCTGGAGTATCTTTACCTTTGAAATCCATAGTGCTATAGTCATCTTTGACATTGATTGCCACATAGATGGGCAATGGGTTCTGGCCCTGATCCACTGCCTGTCGCTGATCCGAGAGTTTATGGTAGTCTTTCTGTTTCAAAAGAAAAATGGCTAAATTGAGGGGTGGGGGGATAGACTGGCACAGTGTATCTATACTTGGAATACAGTAAAATCGTCACATTTCAGCCATGTTTCCCATTATATGACTGCATCGTGTGCAGGGATTAATGTGACTGGGATCTTCCATATTCTACAAAATTTTCATGAACTGCTTACAACCCTGTTGACTGCACGTTCTCGGTAACTATATGGTACATGTTGTGATGGCACTTTCAGACCAACATGATAGGGAGTGAATAAAAGAAGAGATGCCTAGGACATAAAGGGGTTCTGGCATGGTCTACAGCTATACACAGGATTGGAAATGCATAGGACAGGAATACAGCAATTGCATATGCTATAAAAGCAAATGGATAATAGCCCACTGTTTGTTGTTCTAACACTCTTCAAACTATAACTACAGCACTTAACTATTACATTTTCAAAATGTGATTTTTCCAATGCAAAGCATCCATAGCCTACTAGTGAAAACAGTAATTCCCCCCCGCCCCAGATGAATATTAAAAAGTGGTCCACGCTTACACACACACACAGAGCACTCTGAACGAGACTGAAAAAATATTATCCCAAATGGGTCAGATTCAGAAAGTTATAAATATCTGTTAACTGGAAGGGAGACGTGTTTCCTCATCCATAAAGTTAATATTATAAGTGCAATATTATTTATTATACTGTAATGATTTAATAAAACCATGCTTTGATATACTGTACCCCATCATGTAACAAATATTCAACAATGAGCCCCCACAGATCTATAGAAGATGTCCTATGTCCTTCTTCTTTCCGCTGTTGTAGCTGCCTGTTATAATACTTCATACGTTCCATGGAAAAAGAACCCAGCTTGCATTTGGTCACATGTTTTCGAGCTTCATTGATTTTTTCATCCAGATCCTTCTGTGACCAATTAGCATCTCTGTACAAATTTGCCATAGTCCTAGGAAATATATTGAAGGGGAAAAAACAAAAACAACCAGTAGCTTTTATAAGAGAAGGTGCAAAATTTAACATTTTCAATTTGAAGGGTTAATGTACACTTTGCAAAAGGTTCCATGTCCTAAATCGATTCTGCCTTCTACGTACCCCAAAAACATTCTTCTCCGCTGACACTAACTATAAATATTTCCCAGTCCAAAAGAGATTTTTCTAGCAAAGTTATAAATGGGTCAAAAAAAATGGGTCATAAATAGGTTTCAGACCACAACTCTGCTCTGAGAGGAGCTGTTACCAGTGGCTCCATAATATTTCTTTAGCATAGATTTTTGTATCACCCACACAGAGAACTCTCATCATGTCTTCCTTACCAGGTTGTACCAGACAAGCCAGTCAGGTATGTAGAACAATCTATGACATTTAACTTCTTGAGACCTGATAGACTGCCATACGTCGTTGTCAGTGATCTCATTCCACCACCAGTTGTCATGATTGCCACTACAGGAATCTATTCAACACAAAGACAGCAAGTTACTGCAAAGCACATGTCATATGAACACTAGATCAAATCCCGTTCCAAACCACCATGGTAGTCTCTCTTCTGACAAGATCAAAACTGAAATACACATATGCACACTCCCAAACACTGGGGAAGTTTAGGATCTGATTTGGACCCAACCTGAGTAGCTCAGGCATCTATTTGAAATAGGGAAGGGGAGGGCTTATTGTAAACTCATTTGCTTTTGTTCCTCTGAAAACGTTTTTGTTGCCAAGATGGGTTTTCATTCCCTAGAAAATGCCTCATATGACTGTCTCAATGCATAACTTCTAGCAGCCAAACTCCTACTACTTGCCTTCCCATTGCAGTGGTGTGTTTAAGTGGAGGTGGGGGTGTGAAAGATGGGAGTCTGACACATTATAAGAAACTTGCTCTAGGCAGAGGGGACTCATTAGCCATCCAGGCAGTCTATCTAGGAGAAGGGAAAACTCCAATTTCAAACCAAGAATGTCAGGTGTGGTCAGCCAGTTTGTGAAAGCTGTATCCTTCACATACGGTCCACAAGCTTTCATCTTCAAGGAGTATATCAGTACAAAGGATAGGGTGTGCCCAAGAAGTTACATGCAACTTCTTGTCTCATGGCTGTGGAAAATGGTCAAGTTACCACACTGTGGCCCATGTGGCTAAAAAGAGCAAGCTAAAGAGTTCTCTCTGACATCCCTGAATGTGGGAACAATGAAAAGGAAGCAAAATGAAGTAGCTGAGATGATAAAGTGAAGGAAAGTGCACATTGCCTGTATACAAGAGACAAAATGGAAGGGGTAAAATCCATGTACATAAAGAAGGGCTGTAAGAGGATGCTCAGTAGTGAAGAGGAACAGAGTAGGGACACTAGCAGCAGAAATATTACCGGATATGGGAGTGGACATCCAAAGGAAGAATGACCAGTTGATGAAAGTTAGAAAAGCACTGAACAGTGACCAAAACCTGTATGTTATATAGTGATATGTGCCACATTGAATCATGTAATAAGTCAAGTACCACATGTAAAGTACCTCATTTTCAGAGCAGATCTCAATAGATATGTAGGAGAACGCAGTGTGAACTATCAGAGGATAAAGCTTTGAGACCAGAAATGAAGCTAGTGAGGATATCTTAGAATTAACCAGAGCCCATGCCCTGATTGTTGTCAATATATTTTATAGAGCAGGAGAAGTATTTCTTTATATACAGGAGCCGTGTCAACAGGTCCCAGATTGATTATGCCCCAAGAAGGAGAAGAGAGCTAAAAAAAATCAGAAACTGTACAGTGATCCCAGAATAGCAGATTGCAGAGCAACACAGATTGCATATAACAGACTCCTTGTGAAAAAGGCAATTCAGGAATAAAAGATGAGCTATGGTGCAATGGATAAAGTGGTGGAGACCTGTGAATGGGGAAGTTAGTCTGAGATTTAAGGATGAGGTTCTACAGAGTTCAAGTAATAACTAAACCAGCCACAAAGATACCAATGAGAGTTGGAGAAAAATATCCCAGTGTAGTATAGAAAGATCACAAGTTGTATGCGGACAAATGAAAAAAGATGTGGTGGGGGGCCTAATGAAATGCATGAAGCAGTAAAGAAAAGGGAGGAAAATTCAAGTGATGGCAGAAAGCAAAAATGCTGGAAAGTTATGAGGAATTTAAGCTCGTAAAGGAAAAGCTGAAAAAAATGGTTGCAGAAGCTAGTGGTCAGGTACTTAAAGCTTCATATGTATAATTACCGAGCAAGGAAGGGCAAAAAGGAATATAGAGATTAGCTAAAATCAGACAAAGAAGCACTGAAGATTTAGGAGTTGTGAAGTGCATCAGACAAAATGGAAGAGTGCTGATGGAAGATAACAAAATCATTAGGAGATGTCAGTGGTTTTATGAGAAACTGCTCAATGGGGAGAACGTGAGGAAATCACTGAGGTAAGTATGTGCAAGCAACTCTACCTTAGAAGAGCTATCACTGTGTTAGTGAGTCAGACAGCACTAAAGAAGATGGCACATAGGAAGGCAGTGGGAACAGAGGGCGTGCCAACTGAGGAATTTAAATCATTGAGCCATGGGGGAGTGGTAAGGATGATTAAGGATAAGATTTTGTCAGGGATATTTTTAATAAAGGTCACAGACTGGTCACAGGCAATAATGAAAAGTTCACTGGCCTGTCCCTAACTTTTACTAAAAATGTCCCTGATAAAATGGGGAGCTTAGCCACGGGGTCCCCACATTGCCTGTAGAAGTTGGGCTGCTGTGGGGACCCCTACTACTTGTGGAGCTGAGAGCTCCTGGGTCCCCTGGTTTGGTACTCCAGCGTACCTCTACTTCACCTGCTCCAGCTACTAGCTGAAGGAGGTCCCATCGCCCACAGTGGCCAGGGGCTGAAGGGAGGGGGTCATGCTGCCCAAGCCAGGCAAGAGCTGCAGCCTTGCCATCTATGGTGGCCAGGAGCTCCACGAGGCATCCTTCACCCCATAAGCTGGGAACTGTGGGGGAAGAGAGGAGCCCGCTGCCTACTGTGCTGGGAGCTGAGGCCCCGCTGCCTGGGAGCAGCAGCTGGGAGCTGTGGGAGTCCCTTGCTGTACCCCTTGACTAGGAGCTGTGGGGTCCCCCACGTGCTGCAGGAGGCAGGGGAACCCTGCGTCTCCTGGCAGACAAGCCTGAATTCATGGAGATCTCCGGAAGTAATGGATTCCATGACTTCCACAATCTGTGTGGCTGTGTCTACACTGGCATGAATTTCCGGAAATGCTTAAAACAGAATAGTTTTCATTATAAGTATTTCCGGAAAAAGAGCATTTACATTGGCAGGCTGCTTTTCCGGAAAAGCCCTTTTTCAGGAAAAGCATCTGTGGCCAATGTAGACGCGCTTTTCCGGAAAAGAGCCCCGATCGTCATTTTCGCGATCGGGGCTTTTTTCCGGAAAAGACTACTGGGCTGTCTACACTGGCCCTTTTCCGGAACAGTGTTCCGGAATAAGGACTTATGCCCGAGCGGGAGCAGCGTAGCTTTTCCGGGAGCGTCGTTGCTTTTCCGGAAATTCAAGGGCCAGTGTAGACAGCTCGCAGCTTATAAGTGGCCCAGTGTAGACACAGCCTGTGGGAAAAAATTATAGCCTTAACTGAAAATGATGAACTTCTTTAAATTAATCCTCCAAAAAAATACCAAGCTCATGGGAAGAGCATACTGGTCTCTATCTTCAAGCACAAAGAGGATGTGAAAGAAAGCAGCGATTACCAGTTGTAGTGGGGAGGGGCTTTCATTTCCTGAGCACATTCTGCAGCTGCTGCATGAAGACCTGCAAACTTTTTCCAATGCTGTCACCTCCTATAGGTTTGCTGAGATTCCATGGCTTGGTCCTCAGAGGGAGTCACAAAGCCCAAATTAACCCCTATGGGGATATTAAACTGTATGCTAAAGAAACAGGCTTTTTGTCCTTAGAGGGATATTCAGTCATGACTCTGGCCTCCTTTAAATGCAGCCCTTTGTTTGGGTCCTAGCTCACTCCTTTGTGGGATTTATGTTGCTTTGCTTGTGGCCAATAGAAGAATCAATAGCTTACTGGCCACTCAAAGCACACGCCCACAGATCCTCTGCCTCCATTGCTCCAGCCCAGATCCTGCCCAGCACCCCTGCCTTCCTGCCCTGCTCTTGCCTTCCCTGACTTCTGCCAGCCACCAGCTCTGATTCCTCACACTGACTCAGTCTTGACTCTGAGCTCTGACAGTCAGACACAGACTCTAGTTCTCATCTTTGGTCTTACTTCCTGATTTTGGACCTTCCTCAACCTCTGGGTCCTGCCCTCAGGCTACAACCTGTAGGCTTGACCACCTACAACTCAGATTCCTGACAGCCAGGTTCCAACCTGGACCCTAAAACAACAGATACACACTGCTCAATCTGAGTCATGAGAAGAATATTGATGCAGAAGTTAGGAATCACATCGAGAGTGCTTGGTTCAAATGGAGGTATTTGATAGAAATTCCATGATAAGAATATGCTAAGTAAAATATAGCACAAAATGTATAAGACACAATTAGATCAGCCATGATGTACATCTCAGACGGCTAGCCAATGAAGAACGTAAGGATGTCCATAGTAGATCAGACTAATAGTTCATCTAGCCCACTATTCAGTCTTCCAACAGTGACAGGTGTCAGATGTTCAGGAAGACATGAGATATGTAGGTGAAAGAACATAAGATATGGGAGTCATGAGTCAAAAACCATGAGGAAGATCAAGAAAAATGTAGTTCTGTAATCCAAAAGAGATCATGTTGGAAGACACACTCAATAAGAATGCTTCGAGATAAAGAACAGAACATCCAACCTTGAATAAGTGGGACAAGACGAAGGCAAAGAAGATGGTATTGATCGAGTATTATTGTTATTTGTTTCCAGCATACCTAAAACATACTATGTTTGGTACAAATACAAAAGGAGGTATAATTCTTTACCTGAAGAGAAAACAAACATACAGATACAGAAGAGAGGTAATGTGAATCAAATAGTAAGACAGGAAGAAAACCAAGTAAGGACAGTATCACAAAAGCTCAAGGAGGGAAAATGTCAAGGAGGAGATGATTATGAAAAGTGTCAAAAGCATTGGAGAGAACAATGACAGTGAGGATGGAGTAAACCCTGAGATTTTGGCATGATTAAAGGCCTTGACTGAAAGCAATTTCACTGGAGGACAGAAATTGATAACCAGACGGGATTGGATGTAAAATGAATCAGAAGGAAATTTAATTCAGGGCAATGAGAGTAACTAGTGCATACTGTCAGTTGTGAGGTGAAAGAGGAAAGGAGACTGAGCAGTCATTAGAAGTTACAGTGTGAGGGAAAGTAGCTAAAGCACAAAGACAAGTTAAGGAAGATAGGTAAGGAACAATAGGGCAAGGAAAGGTAGGAGTGAGGAGGAGAGAGAGTTGCTGAGAGGTACAGAATAGTCAAGAAAGGAAGAAGAGGATAGTAGGGGGTAATGGGGCAAGTAAGAGGAGGGAGGAAAGAGATCATAGAGGACTGTTTGATGAAATGAACAGGATCCTTCATAGAAACAAAGGAGGGAGCAGCATGGGGTAAACGAAACAAAAGCAGTACTCTTTGGCCAGGAATACGACATAACTCAAAAGGAGAGAACAAATGTGTATGGGAGTAAAACAGTGGGGCAATGATACTTCATCGCAGGCTTTTTGTGAGGTGGGAGCAGGAAAGCAGGAAGCAGATTTTCAGAATGAGCCATGACTGAAGTATATTGGGATGGACTTTGTGCATATTCAAGACAGTGTAAGGGAGGGATAAGACAACTGTATCTATTGATGGGTTGGATAAGAAAATTGGTATCAGAGAGAAACTTCTTAAAGTGAGCCTCTCCACACCAGTCAGAAGTTTTGATAATAGTAAATGTGTCAGATTAGGTATCCAGATGCTGAGTGTTTGAGCTGAGCGGATCTCAGGGATCCTGTGCTACATACCTCGTCATCCTGCAAGTCCTCTTCTAACTGGAGAACCTTTTTCAGAGCAGCAGCAACATATTTCTTCCTTTTACACAGGAAATCCTGCTCCTGTGTGCACAAGTCAAACCCTAAGCGCACATCTAGGTCTTCTGAGCTGGAACAGAGACCAGGAAAAACACAGGCTTAGATACTGCATGTTGTTACTGATAGCCAGTTTTTGAATTTACAGTGCAAACAAACAACCACTTTCAAAAAGAGTCAATCTGACAAGAAAGTCTTTGTCCTTACATGGACTCACTGATGTAACATGAGCAAGGGGAAAAAAACAAGAAAAAAAGGGGAAAATTAACACCTATAAGTAAATTCTGAAGGATGAACCTGCTATGTTTTAGATGTAATCTTGTGACTGTATTTAGAGTTCAATACTTTTTGGAGAGCTGTACTAAAATAAGCTTTGCTGACTATATCTTATCAACTTGCTAAACAGCATCAAGTCAGATTGTGGATTGTGCTGAGCAGGAAACCAAGAAAACAGGGCAAATACAGATTTCAAATTGCTAAGTATGCCACTATTTTTATTTCATATATGGGTCTCATTAAACTGATGAAAATATTGGGTACAGTATATGCCACGTTCTTTTTTTATATATATGACATTCCAGCTTTCAGTCTAAATTAATTAAAAATTGTCAGCACAAATTGTTGACATACAGTAAGCAGACTTTTTCTATAAACAGACAAGGAGAAAGCAGAATTCAGCTGACAAAATCATCAACATCCAAAGAAGATGGATCTCTTACCAGTCTGTAGCTTTCACATTCAAATCAAATTTTTTATCCTGAAAACCCAAGAATACAAATAACTTAAGTGCCATCACATTTTTAAGGTTTCCCCTCCCTTCAGCTTTATCTTATCTCTCTTCAGCAATGCAGACCTAACCCAGAGATTCTATGTATATGGATACAACATCACTAATTTATTCTCTGTAAAGATGCTCATCCTAAACAGATGAAGACCGTGGTAGTACTAGCCAGTGTTTGCCTCCTCCCATGTGGCTGTGTGGGATTTGCTGCCCATCAGAAAGCTGGTGCTACCCAAGTTCTGCAGCTAGTTAAAATAACCCCTCACTCCCAAACAGGAGGAATTAAGTGGCAGTGCCCCAAATCTTAGCACTGTGATTTATCATTAAGATCAGGATGGAGTGCCTACAGTGTCACTCACAAAAGTCTGAAGTGGCAAGCACTGGTTGAGAACTAGTGGAATAAATGGCAGTTCAAGGTGACTTGCTTGAATAACCATGAAAATCTTATTATAACTATTGGCTTTTGTAGATCTCAGGGTTTTTGTGAGTAGTAGTGTGTTTTCTTTTCAAAAGCTAAATTTTGGCTCTGAGCAACATCACTTAATTGTGGCCCTGTAATGAGGGTTTACATGAGCATAAAGCATATTGCTGATCACCATAAAACTGCAGAATCATAGAATAAATCAGGAGTTTCCAACTTCCCAGTCTTTTCAGGTAACTGCACCAGTATTCTGGGCTGAGGTCTCTGATTATATCAGCCATTCTCCTCCACCTTCCATTCACTGCAATGAGTTTGGAATCGTGGAACTCCCAATCCCAGGTGCATGAATACAAGATTGCATTGCAGAGCAAGTCTAAGCTCCACCATGGTTGTGTGGCTACCGCTGGTGCTGCAGGGTCACAGACAACATGCAAAGAGTTAATTGACCTCTGTGGGACAGAAAGAGAGCTGGCTCTAAAGATTCATGCAGAGGGAAAGGGGCACAGCCTTCAAAATCAAATTTCCCTAACCTTCTTCCTCCATAAGGATAACGCCAGAAAATCTCATTGAAGAAATTACCTTCATTCTTTCTCCTCCATTTACCCCTTTTTCAATATTTTTTCCAAGGTCTACACCATTATTGTTACACTGATGATAACCCAGATATGGATCAGTGTTTATTCCTAAGAGCTAACAGTAGGCACTCACCTCTGTTATTGTTACTTTCTCTCCTATGGGAAGTGAATTGAGAGCCACATATGGGGAGTCTGCCTTCGTATGATAGGAACAGGTACGCTAAAGAAATGCATACAAATTTTTTATTATAAGGAGTAAAGTGAAGATGGATTAATGTTGCTGTCTAATGCATCTGTTTCTTTAAAGTTACTACTAAGTTTATTAATTCCAATGATAACTTACAAAGGAGTAATATGGTTTCTCCTTTGGCAGAATAACATCTAGTGCTGGGTGCTTATTCTCAACATAGTGGAACTTAGTGAGACTTGAAGCTGAAATGATGGGATCAGAGGCCAGTGTAAGTTCTTGGGTCTCTTCATGGGACCCTTTCACTGTGAGGGAGATGTTTTTTCCTAAAGGAAGAAGACAAAGCGCATACAGAACTTACTATTATTAGACCGGAAATGTAGCATTGTAGGGGTATTTTAAAAGCCTTGTCATTAAACTAAATTGCTCTAGACTGAGTTTCAAGAGACCACTTATTAAGCAATATTATTTTATTAAAATATTTAGATAAATGGGAAGTTGGATAATCAATTTACCCTCAAGGCATTAGCAGAAATTAGGGTAAAATGAAGTTTCACCAGAAGTGGCTCGGATACATGAAGTTTTTGGAGTTTTGCTTCCATTTATTTGCTTCTATTTTATTCAAGACCAGCAAATCTTTAGCAATATACCACATGTGAGAGTCATGAATAGAAAACATCCGGGGCCGTTAATGAATGGAACAATTTATCTAGGTTTGTCTGTTGTATCTTTAGTTCCTTTATAAATAAAATGTTTTTATTACTACACTTCTTGCAAGGGCTGTTATTTCCATAGCAATGAAACTGTTTGAGTGAGATGACCTTGTAGTTAGGATACTGGCTGGGACTTGGGCAGTCCTGTTGACAGCAGTTCCAGGCCCCAGGGCAGAATAATCGATGGGCCCACAAACATGCACAAGCCATGTCCATGTAGACATAGTCTTCCTGACATTAAGTAAGCATAGTTGCATCTATGCTTCCACATGGCCACCAGGTAGGGTTGTTAACTGTTTAATCACACAAACCCAAAGACCCTTGCACTGCCTCCCTGACCTACTGTTTTTGAGGTCTTGCCCGTGTCCTGACCCTTCTCACTCCATACAATCCTCACTCCCTCCATCACTGGCTCTCCACCACCCTCGTTCACTTTTACCAGACTGGGGAAGGGAGTTAGGGTGTGGGAATGGACTCTGGGAGGAAATGAGTGCAGAATGTGGACTCTGGGGGGAGTTTGCATGTAAGGTGTAGGCTCTGTGCTAGAGCGGGGTGTTGGGGAGCAGGAGGAGGTGAGAAGGGTAGTTCTTACTTCAAGTTGCTCCCCAAAATGACTAGCACACCCTTCTGGCAGTGGCTGTTAGGCAAGAGGATCTGATGGTCTCTGCAGGTTGCTGCCTACAGGCATTACCCCTGCAGTTCCCATTGGCTGCAGTTCCTGGTCAATGGGAGCTGTGGAGTTGGTGCTTAGGGTAGAAGCAGCACAGAGAGGTCCCTTGCTCTCTAGAGCAGCAGGACATGGTGGCCACTTCTGGTAGTGGCACAGAGTCACTTTTGTCCCTCCCCCTCATCAGCAGGTCTGGACTCAGGAAATCTCAGTTCAGGTCTCATCTCTGCCACAGAGATCTTGTGTGACTTTGGGTAAATCACTTAATCTCTCTGTGCCTCATTTCCTGAGCTGTGAAATGGGAATCACATTCTTTCCTCTGTCTATCATGTCTATTGAGACTGTAAACTCCTCCAATGTGGGCTATCTCTT